TCGCAAAAGAAACAGTGGTTTTCTGGCAGACAACTTGAAGCAGTACTAGATCGCCTGGCCTTTATTGGGCTGGAACTACTTACATCTATGATTTGTTCGCAATCTTCTCTGTCCTTTTCGTCAGCTATTGCCGATAATTTTCTTTTCTTGGCACGCTCTAACTTGGTACTGCTGAAAAGGTCTCGACAAGACTTGTGCCAGGAAGCTTTTTTATTCAAAAGAGTTTGCTCTATTCCAAGACCTTCATCGAGACATTCCACATTTAAACATTCAGGGGTAATTTCTAGCTTCCAGAATTCTTCGAGATTTCTAACAAATGAAGTGTAGCCAACACCAGCATATTTACGCTTTGAGTTTGCAGGACATTGTAATTTTTCAACGGAACTTTTTTGGCAAATGATGCACAGATCCCAATCCATGATTTTTGAAATCTTTAGTGATAGTTTCTAACGTAGAAAATGATTAAAAAAAAACATGGCAATTGGGAATTCTTTATTCGTTTCGTACAGAAGTAGAAAATGTCGTCAGTTACTAATGCATATAAAAACCAAAAAACGATGATAACATTAAAAATTTCGTACCTTTTATGGCTGTAAGTGCCCATGACGGCCGCCATCTTGAAATCGCGTGTGAGTGGCCTGGGTTCTAATACCACTGCTATTGCCAGTTTCTCCCCCAAGTGCCTCAATTATCGATAGAATAGCGTACCACATCGTCAAATTTTTTCAACAAACGTATCATTTGACAAAAAATGAATAAATCAAATCGTAAGTACTCTATAATGATTGTGTGCAGCCCCGTTTTCATACAGCGCATGCGCAATGTTGAGCAATATAGTAACTTGTAGTTGTTTTGCCCTTGTCTTATATTTTTACTTGGGGTTACTCCCAAAATATTTAAAGCACCCAATTCGATCTTTAAAAAATTAAAACTACGCATTTTCAAGTTTGCCACAGGTATCCCAGGCATGCACTACGTGTATTTGTTTAATTTCCAGGAAATAGGTCACGTGACAATACTTTACATTTCTGAGTGAAGAACATGGCTGATATATTAATATGAGAAGCATTTCTGAAAAAAAATCTTTAAAGAAAGGGTTCAAACTGGGGTTATTGAAGCAGCCTCGTTTCCATGTTGAGTATTTTATGAGATGCGCATTACTCGTCAGCATAAGTGAATTTGGGCTGGCTCCATATCCAAAAATGTTAGTACTAGGGATGTTAGTAATGTGACAAAGTTTCATGCTTTTATCATCAAAGTGAACAATTGTGGTCGTTAACAGCTGGACTAATATATATATATACTACAGAAAGGCAAAATTATGTCAAGAAAAGCTTAAGAATCCTAAACCAACCCATTGTGGAATATTTAGGCTGTCAAGTGACTATTTACATTTTACAATCTCAATCATGCTAACAATCAGTCTTTCTTATTAACCCACTAAGCTGCACAGCTTCCCCTTGACGAGTAAAATCGTCTGGCGGCTCATTTGTATAGTTTGAGCACACTATCAGCGACGGTTTAAAACCTACTTATCAGCAAATATTGCTATAAGATCTAAATTTCGCACCTTTTATGCAAATAATCTACCGAAAGGTGTATCCATTGCTACAAATTGACGTATATAAAGGAAGGAAAGCGAAATTCTACCGGACCTTACCGCAATATTTGCCAATAAAGCGGTAATCGCTACAGAAAAATAGAACAAATTACAGAAGTACAAAACAAGTTGCAGAAGTGGGAAGGTTTTTGTATTTTGACTGTAAATCTTTTGTTATGGAATGTAACCATTAATGCTATTAAATTACATGTTTCCAACATATGTCTTGCAGATCAGGACTTATTCTCAGTTGTTATGAGAGCAGATACTGACATGTTGGTTTTGACCCAAATTTAGGGATTCTGCTTGTTCGCAGGTGGGATGATTGACAGAAACGGGGGCAGGGAAATTAGAACACGTGAGAGAATAAGAGCAAAAGTGTATGCGAGAGTGTAGTTGAAACTTTGTACTTGGGACATGCAGAGGGGTAGGGGTACCATCAATTTCGTCTGTGGAGTGATGTAGATGCAAACCCTATGTGAGATCCACATGTATTTCTTCTTGCAAATTATATTATTATCCATGGCTGCCTAAGGTCTGCAGCTATATGGATGATCCTATTCCTTGACAGTTCTGCAGTAAAGAATAATTTTCTATTGACATATTTTAAAATGTTGGCATGAAGCACCATATATAAAGTTAATACATACATATATAACCTGTGGTCACATATAGTTATAATTATTGTAATGTTGCAATCTTAATATATTGACAATAAAAAATCAGACATACAGATTATAGTGTGTTTTTTTCCAATTTGAATGAATGAAAACTTCTATTTTGGGACCGGTCATTATTTATGGAAGGGGGGAGGGAAAAAATAAGGGGGGCATATGTATAAATTACTAGAAGGAGGGGGGTGGGCTATTAAATTTTTTCAAGAAAATAAGGGGGGTTGCAATTAAATTTGAAGATAGCCTTTCCCTACCCACCCACCCATGTTTATTCTAGAGGATTTTATCTTTTAGTATGTCACTTTATTTTATATAATTTTTAGTGTTTGCTGACTTAATTTCAGTGTTTGCTGACTTAGTAAATGGCGAGTTACCAAACAATGTCAACACAGATACACCAGGAGAAACAGGGCCCCCAGAAAGCAGCCATTCACCTGATTGGTGCAAGTGTGGTTTGTGTGTAGCCATGCCAACTCAAGCGGAAAATAAATGCTGCACACAAGTTGTCCGAGAATGCATAACAATAGACCCATTATTCCATCAAATTGTATTAGACAGAAATATTTAAGATGTGGCAATGAGGTATATGGAGGACATGTTGGCAATGGAAAATCCACGAAATAATGAGAACTTCAGGCATGCTGCATATAGACAATTTGTTCTTTGGCAGCATGGGAGACTTGGGCAAGGCAACAGGCGAGTAGTACCAAGCTGTTGTGTAAATGCAATTAGAAACCGCTACCCATCACCTAATGGTATTTATGTAGGTTTCAGGCCAACAAGGTTGTAGGCCAATATAATAACTGTTGATCAGTGTGACAGAACATTGCACAATAGTAAGAAAAACTTGTATCACAATCACATAATAAATATTGTAATTTTTATTCAAAATGCTATAGCCAGCAAATCACACAAAAAATACAGTACTTTCATTGTTTCAGAAATGCTTGCCGCCTGCGTAGCCCGGCTGTTGTCCGGCACGCACGGCAGACTAAAATCAATGTTTGTGAAACAAACCAAAAAATTTGTCAATTAGCTCTAATCCACAATCTTAAAAAAGAGTAAAAAAAATTGGGTGAAGCAAGAGTTTTTTTGTTACCCACTGTAAAATATAAACAAACTTTGACCTATGGTATTTTAAGACCTATTGATGTTAATATGTGTTATACTGTAAGGTTTGACTGTGTGTGCATTGTTGAATACATTGCATGACAACATATATTGTTTACATTTACATGTCCTATGAAAGATGCTAAATGTGGTAGAGACACAGTACTTACTGTACATACTGTGCAGCAGAAAACCATTGTTCATATTTAAATTAAATATTTGTTATGGATGAGCACAATTAGAATCTGGACTTATGTACTTGTACCAGATGTTCAATACTTGGTCTTGGCATTACTGCAATGTTTGCAGCGATGTTCCTTGGGTCATCTGCACCTCTCACAATTTTTCTGTTAACATTTCCAGTTTTCAATTGCTCCTCAAAGATCTTCACAATAAGCGTCGGGATATAACCATAATCCTTTGGTTGAAGGACAGTAACTGGTCGCCACTGTTTTGTACGCTTGCTGTACTGGCCACGGTGCCTGACATTAAAAATAGAAACTCAACATAAAAATATAATAAAATATAATTATACGCATTTGAAGAACATTCAACACATTGTTAGCACAGTTTGCTACTTTATATGTTGTATACATACAAGATTCAACCTAAATCTTGTAACCGGTTAGTATACATAATTTTTTGGCAAGTTTGCCCATTTTCTCAAATGTATTCTGATAATGCAGCTACATGTATAGTATTATAGCAAATACAATTCTATACTGTAATCTATGCGAAACCCTCCCCCCCCCAAAAAAAAAATTTAGTTACATACACAATTTCTCCAGCAGCATTTTTACAAGGCTGTCGATTCCTATGGCTATTGAAGTCGATGACAGCCAGTTGATTCCTTAACTTGTATCCAACATACCTAAGAAGTAAAATAAAAATTGAACATTTCATTCAGACTTTACACAAATAAAATCATCTGGCATTAGAAAGTAAAACAACGCAGGACAGCGCATAAGTTAATGAAACTGTCTGCCAATGTGATACCTGGTACAGTACTCTCTCTTCTTAAGTACTGTAAACATTAAAATGTAACCCACTAAAAGGTGCTAGTCCATAATTATACTGCATGTTGGTGGTAGGTGGGTTGGCGTATTCAAATGTTTTATATAAAATAATGTTTATGCCGGCTAATGTACAATTATACTACTTACGAGTATGAATGTCGTTTTGGACAATACATCAACAAGTGATTGTGGAACGACTCGAGGAAACCTGTGTGCCTTCAAATATAAAAAAATAATATCAGTGATATTCATGAAATTTATAGTTATGTAACAATATTGATTGTAACAATATTGATTGAGTAATAAAAAATAAATCTTCCCTTACCTGAAATTAGTAAAATATAGAAATGTATTCAGGAATCTCTTGCTTAACACAATCTTTTGTAGCGCCTTATGTACCTTGCTGTTCTTTTCCAACCATGGCTTTTCCCTCTCTTCATCACTAAGGGGATCGTGGCCACATTTTCCAGCACTTTTACCATCATCTATCGGCCATTCATGCTCATTTACCACATGGTGAAGTATTCCTCTCCACAAATCCTAAAAATGTTCTCCTGAAATTAGCCTCAAACCCCCCCCCCCAACTCTTGGTCTTGGGACCTTTAATAAGGTGTTTGACCAAAATTATAAGGTCAACTGCAATAAGTGCAACTGTAAATTAAAGTCTCTTTAATTAATAATAAAAAATACAGTAAGTAACAATAAGTACTGTAAATGTTGGCTGACAGTGTAGTACTTACATACCTTAAAATCATTAACATTCCCATTACACAGGCGACTGCAATACCAAAAATGATTTTTCACAGCCCCTGACCATTGCAACAAATCTTCATCTCCCTTTTCCTTTGCTACCTACAATGATAAAACAGAAAACCTTGTTCATTGGAACCTACCTTCAATTGTCAGTCACTCTGTCTAAAATCAAATTACATGACTAATCTACAGCACTCCGTAACACTCATAGCACATACTGTACTAGGCAAAAAGGAAGATGAATTAATAAATATCTATTGTTAACTATTAGCAGGCATTGTTCAAATGCACCAACTAGTTTAGTATATATTTTATGTTGTCTGATGCCTGTCTAGCTTAATATCAGTGGTACAAACCTGTCACTCATTGTGATAAAAGGTTAAATATCTTGGGTTAGGTCTACTGTCTGAGTGCAATCAAAATAAATTAGTAATGTACAGGTGTATTACGATTTACAAAACAAATACGTTTGTATGATGTACTGCAAGCAATATTATTTTATACAAATAACAAAACTAAAGAAAGTCCACTTACATTTGCGACCTTTTTCCCAATATTTTTCCCACCATGCCAGACATCTCGTTGATGTACAATATCAGCATACTTCTCACAGTGACCTGTTAAAAATGTTTCAAACCATTTATTTATGAATCTACCATAAATGAAACAATAAGTGGAATACATGTTGTTCATTGTAAATAAACCTGACTAAAGATCTTTCTACGACTTTTGGTGAGCTAGGGATGCAGCACACCCAGATGTGAAATGCATGCACTGCTTGTAAGAAAATTTTAGGTATTAGTACTGTTGTTATAAATTTGTAATTATTTGGAAAAATAAAAAACAATCATTCCTTTGTCACTTATAGGTTTTATCCACGCATATAATTGTAATGTACTATTAATAATAATACAGTATTCTTGGCTTGCACATGATGTCACAACGTCTCATTGGGCACCATCTTGGTTGATTTTAAAGTTTACTTTAGCTGTTTATGGCAAAATAGTTGAGTTATTTTTAATACTTTTGTTTGGTTTGTTTTGAACATAATTTGCTATATTGTGGTCCGTGGATAGTTTTATGGTCTTTGACTCAATACAACAGTAGTGCTGTGCAGCGAAGCTGAAGCCGGAGTTTTGGCCTATTTTGCCAGAGCCATAGTACCGTAGTTTGTTCAGCTCAGGCAAAACTCCAGCATGACTTATTTTTGCTGCAAGCTACTGTCAAACATAGGTAAACCTGCCTTTATTTAGTTTAATGATGAAAAGTTTTAGCCACATTGACATTGCCTCTGTGAGCAACTGCTTCTTGTATTTTCTTGCGCGACCAATATAATTGTGCATTGTGCCATTATTAGTATGAAATATTCATGCAAAGTGTTAAAATCAAAAGCAAATTAAGATAGTGTTTCTACTTTGAAATGGCCATGAAATTTTGAGTTTTCACAAATTTTCCAGAGCTGGAAATTTTCTATTAAGGGAAGCGTCACATATTAAGGGAAGTTTTCACAAATTTTCCGGAGCTGGAAATTTTTGTTTTTCCCCGGAGCCAGAGTTTTTTTGGCTGGAACCGATGGTGAAAAACCCACAATTAGCACAGCACTATAAAACAGAGAATCGAGAAATTAAATACATTTTATGGTTCTATTGCAAGCCAAGGGCAATGCCTTTGACAGACAACATTATTTTAAAATGTGCTTGCAAAATCATGACATGATTAGGGACACTCCAGGCAGACTATTGGCGGAACGAGCGGAAGCCTAAGGTGTGTGGTATGCTTTATGTGGTCTGGCCATGCCTATTGCCTTCCATAAAAAAACAACAAAATAATTTATATCTGAATCCAGTTAGAACCTTGGAAATGCATCTACTGTACATCAGCATACCACATTGTGACTGTCAGTCCCAAAACAAAATTACTCATAAAAAACTTACTCATTAATGATGCAATTCCAGTATGCCCATCAGTTATTACTTCTTTTGCAATAATCTCAGTGCTTAGTATAGCATCCATCCCCCTCTCAAAACCAACACGTTCCATGTTTGTGCTCTTCCGGCCTTCTACCTCACGTACATCTACAACATCTTGCTGCAGAATAACTTTATCTTCCATATCAGTGATTGTATATGTGCAATATTGCGCACAATGTCCTGGCGAGTCATTCCTAGCATCGGCAGTAAGAAGAATCTCTTTATTTTTCCTTTCATTCACAAGTCTTTGCCTCATTGTATCCCAATAGCCTTGCACAGTTGGAGCTACATACAGGCCTTGGTGTTGGTAAAAAAGGCTCTTCGAAATGAATTTGAGGTTGAGGAAGTTGAAAAACAATGCTATTTTCATAAATGAATTTCCAGACAAGAGAAGGCAGGATAAAGTAACAAGTTCCCAGCTCGCATTTTGTTGAACATCGGTTGGGAAGACCAGCTTCCTCCGAAATGACCTGATGAACACTTCCATGTCACAACAAGACAGCTACCCACATATGGTTTTTTGAACTCCCATGTTTTGCAACAACCAGGTCTATTGCAATGAGAGCCATGTATTTTTTGCAACAGTTCCAGGATTTTGTCGGTGAACACAATACACTTTTCCATTTCTGAAAGCTTCAAAGGTAGAACATTTGGTACTGGTATGCTATCCTTAGGTGTATTAGGAAAATCAGCATGCTGTGGGTTATCCTCAATTAAAGACAACTCTGGATCCTCGAATTCATCATCTTCACCCAACAACATGTCAAACACTTCTTCCTCTGGAAATGTTTTGTCCATAACATCATTTATTCTAAAACATAAAAATATGCAGACATTAATATTTTAGTACAGAAGTTCTACTTAATATCTCATTGATTCAAATAAACATGTAAAGCCTGGTGAAAACTGCTCCAGCCAACCCACTGCATACACTTCTTTGTACTATAATATGGAACATTTTTCCACACTTGTAAGTAGATTGACTGTAATTAAAAAAGCATACTGTATATATGTATGTCAGGACTTACAAAGCACTTTTGGTTTGTTCAATTTCATCTAAATCCAAGCTATCATCTGTGTCAGAATCTTCTGCTTCTGGGTGCTCGAGAGCGGTAAGCGTTTTCTCATCATCATGCCTTTAAAATAAAAAATGAAAATTAGCATGCAAGCAGTCAGGCCTTCCCTACCAGACAAGGGTGGGGTGGTGGAGGTGGGTGGGTCTCCAGAGTTTCTTGTGGGAAAATCGACTTAAAAAAAGCATACTGTATATATGTATGCCAGGACTTACAAAGAACTTCTGGTTTGTTCCATTTTATCTAAATCCAAGCGATCATCAGCGTCAGAATCTTCTACTTCTGGGTGCTCGAGAGCGGTAAGCGTTTTTTCATCATGCCTTTAAAATGAAAATTGAAAATTAGCATGCAAGACAAAGGGGGGGGGGGTCTCCAGAGAAACGTCCAAATGACGTTTCTCAATAGAAAATCGATATGTGACGCTTCCCTTAACATTTAAGGCAGCCCAGAAACGTGCATATCCAAATGTAAACAATTAGTATATATATATGTATATCTAAGGTTGGCAGCTATTTGAATGCCGATGAACACATTGACTTGAGTAAAAAGAACATACTGTGCTTGTATTGATAAAAGCCCACAAAAATAATGATACATTGAAATGCCAATTGCTATTAATTTACAAACAAATTAAGTTTTATTACATGGCCAAAGCTTTGAGAAAATTGACACAAATTTGTAATGTTTTGGCAAAATTTTTTTCAAATTTCTTGTCTTCATGCGGGATGCCAGAGGTTCAGGTACATGTGATAACTTTGAAACATCTTATTGGTTGGCACACCAAGTTGGTGTCACCAACAACATTATCTTTAAACAATTGAATATTTTAGAAATGTCACATATACTGGAGCCTCTGCATAAAGACAAGAAATGTCCGAGTTGCCAACCTGCCATTTGACACCAGAGATTTCCCCTGGGTGGGTAGGGAAACTGACATGCAAATATGCTCCTTTCAGTGTTACCACTATTCACCAAGCTAGTGTTAATCATTTAGTGAAAGCATATATGCATGTAGTCGACAAACTAGAAGACACTCAGTAGTCAACAGTGCAACGAGATGTAGTAAAATAAACACTACTGCTTCTCAATATAAAGCACACAATTATATTGGACTTGAACAAAAAGATACCTTGATAATTCTGAAATCGTGGATTCCGAGAGAAGCTGCCGCCTGGAATGTTCGTCATGTGTTTTGGTCGCTGTGACATCTTCGTTCATACGTACAGGAGTAGAAAACATCACCCTGAAAACAACACAAATATTTCGAAATATAAAAGCTTACGAAGAAAATTTAAATTGGTAGACGAGAAATATGCGAGATTAATGAATATAAATTACTTACGAGGGCACACAGGAGATGAAAATGAAAAGATTGAATCGACATCATTGACATTTGTCTGTGTGTCCGCGTCGCTATTAAAATATGAAAAAACATGAAATATTTAAACCAATCTGAACCAATGATTGCTTTAATACTATGACTGAAATAAGCACAATAATAAATAACCATAAAAACATTATCACAACTATTATACATACGTAACCTACCATTTCACAGCACTTTCCTGTCCGGATAAATATGCTTTCATCAAGAAGTCTGCAAGCTGTTTCTCGGTAGCAAAGTTTAGTTCCCCTTTCAACTCCGTCCATGGAATGAATTGCTCATACAAGTATATTCTAGTTCTTCCTTTGCTAGCAATGTATGACTTTCGTTTACCACTTTCGCTTGGATTCGAGCTCGAAGAAGGTAAACTTTCAGAACCATCTCCTTCGGTGTCCATGCTCGAGACACATAAATTCAGTCACTCCTTGCGTGCGACATGATAACAAAGTATCGTATATCATGGTAGTGGGATACTTCATGTAAGTTGCGGTAATATGGTTTGTTTTGGGCACCCCCAAAACAATGTTTCCCGCGCATGTGCAGATTCGACTGGATATCACCTTTAATATCTTGTCAGTTCCCTATTCTTATTTAATAATTAACACTATAACACCTGGGTATCCCTAGTGGACGAGTATATGAAAATGGGGGGGGTCAAAGAAAAATATTCTAATATGTAGGGGGGGTCATCATTAAATTTCTGCTCTTTTAAGGGGGGGGGCTTTCAATTTTAAAAATTTAGGAAAGAAAAAATTCCCCTCCTCCCTTCCATAAATAATGACCGGTCCCTTAAATAGGGTAATTATCTTGTCAAAATGATCATAATTGACATTCATTGGATATTTATTGGCAATTAAGTAATTTTGATATGGCTATCTAAAGCCCACCCTTTTCCCCCAGCCATGCACCTTGTTTCCCCGGGGTGGGGGTTTCCAGTGAGAAATAATACATGGGTCACTACCACTCACTACATGCATGTGGCCAATTAGTAAAGTGGTTTGTTTTCAATCCATCTAATGTCTTTGCAATCCTAATCAAGAAGTAAACAAATAACGATAAAAAAGCTTTTTTTAGTCTGTTTCGATCTGCTGTAAATGAGTTAAAACCAATACATATACGTGAACTTTCATAACACAATATAACAAAAGACTGACAGTAACACTAATCTCTCCATGGCAAAACTTTAGCCAATCCAAACTCAACTAGGAAGTGCAGTATTAAGCACATATATTCACACATAGAAAGGTTCGCTGTCGTTTTACTTTAGTTCAAACTAAAAGATCACTTATTTATAAGCCTGCCAGATAATATCAAGGACTACAATGTCAACCAAATTTGTCGTACTTACTCATTTGCATTTTGGAACAATGGTGAGAGGTTTTCTAAAATAACATGATGAACAAAAGAATCAAACGACAAATTATAATCTATTAAAAACTAAATCACATGATTGAAAAGGATTAAAATACATACCTTCATTCATTGTTGAAACTTAAATTCACAATCGAGAACTGATGATTGATCATTGATGAATTCCAGGATGATTCAATCATTTGATGTTTCCTGTTTCCGGTCCGGAATCTTCGGTTACTGCTCGGTAGATGGTCGGCAAAATCCGCTGTTTCGCAAATGGTCCAGTGGTGATCCACGAGAGCGGTCCATGGACCAGGTCCACAAAGGTAGTCCATGGACCTGGGGTCCGCATTTTCGCATTTTGTCGTTTCCCGCCTATACTGGAATAAAGTTTTATTGATGAAAAGTTCGGTGTCTCTCTCTTTATTACTTAGCATGAACAAAAGTTTGTCAATGCAACCAGTAATCAAAGTTTCTTTTGTCATATATATATATATATATATATATATATATATATATATATATATATATATATATATATATATATGTACGGTAAAACGCTGTTTGGTTTTAAAGCTGAAAAACTGGAACTGCTAGTTATTTGCGTATTTCAATGAAGTTTAACTTCATTGAAATATGTGTATAACTAGCGGTTCTAGTAATAGAAGTTAACTTTTAAATTATTTCTCATATAACTTACAGTTTTGTTTATATTTATTCTCCTTATTCCGTAGGAATTAAAGCAAAAAAATTAGAATTTGCATAATGACAAACAAATCAAATGACAGCCGTTTTGCACGAGACAATGTGGGGGGGACTTGTTTAAGCTATCCAATATTATCGGGGAATGAGGCGGAATTTCCAAGCATAAACGCATAATTAGTTTTTGACAAATACGCAGAAATTTTTGTTGAAAAATCCATATTGAGAATTCCGTATACGACGCACATTAAAAAAATAACTTTTCTAAAAGCAACAAGTGAACATTAATTAGTATAGGTAATAGTATGGTTTCGAGTGGAATTTGGAAAAAACATGCACAGTGAGTTTTTCAAAGACGATCAAAATTGCACGAGTGCAATGTGACGTCTTTCAAAAACTCACAAGTGCATGTTTTTCCAAATTGAACCAGAAACCATAATATTACTTGTTAATAATATACGTGAAAAGTTTATGCCTTTAAGCATTTCTAGGCTGTGGGTCGTTGGCCAAAATGATTTCGCTTTGTGGCACCCATGGGAAGTACTTGGTTTGTGGTTTATTTGAAAGGCATATAGATACATTACTACCAAGCAAAGAATGAATGATTGTCCTCTATTAAATTGTATTACAGCAAAAAAATGGGAAATTTTGTATTCAATACTGATAAATTTAATACTGGAAAACATACAAAACCACATGCAAAACTTAAAAAACAGTTTTTTGATTTTTTAAATAGTCTTTGAGTTACTGCTGTTTTAAATGTGAAAATAGGGCCTGGGTACTAGGTCAAATACACGTTTTTGATAGTGGCGGACACTTTACAGAATATTGGGGGAGCTTGTGCCGAAAGCACGGAAAAATTTTAAAAGTTGGATCCCGGAAATGGCATTTGCAGCATTCTGAGAACACATTTTGTAAAAAACTAGGTTTTCAAAACACTGTTTTAATTGAATTATCTGTTGTTTTTTAGCATAATAGTTTAATATACGCATTCAAATATTATTGTGCAGCAGAAAATTTCGCTGCCAAACAATAGTATAAGCTTTAAAAACAACAAAAAATCGACATTTAAAGAAGTGCCTGTTGCAAAAAGTTGACCACCTAGCACCGTCAAAAAGAATGTATAAAATGCGTATGTTGTGTCACGTACAGTACAGAAACGTATATTATTATATTGTTTGGTATATTGCTTACTGTTTTAGCTTAAGTTTTATCAAATAATTATTATTTAATATGGCAATTACGTTATATTGAGTGTGATTTGTGTTATTTGGTACAACATTTTTACAGTCTTTCAAAATTATTGGGGGGGGGGGCTCGGGCCCCCCTCGCCCCCCCCTAGTGTCTGCCACTAGTTTTTGACAGCATTATACTCAAACAATTTGAGATAAAAAAACTGTTTAATTATCTTACATGTGGGTTTTTGTAAGCTTTCTGATGATGCAAGTCATTTTTGTTGTAGTTGAGTACAAAATTTCACATTTTCTTGTAGCCCGCGTGCAGGCCCAAGGGAGCAGGCTCAAGGGAACTTGATAGTGGGCCTGCAAGCAAGGCCCGGTATTTTGTACTTTCCGCGTTCGCCCACGAACGCGGCATTCTGATTGGCTGTTTGCTGTTAGATTCTATAATTAGACAAGTGATTCATCACAAAGGCTCTCGATAAGCTTAAAATTCGAAAATTGATCACTTTTTTCGATTATAAATGGAACAAGAACGTTTATTGTTTACTTGAAGGAAGAGATGTTTTTGCCGTTATGCCAATGGGGATTGCTTGTCATGAGGTGTTGGAATAGCACTCATTACGACTGGGGTAAACTATAGTAACCTTTACTTGAGTTTCATTAATTTCAAACAGACTTGATACGTTATATGTTCCTCAAGAAAATTATCTTTTGGTTGATGTTGAGATGCAGTTGCATTTAAGCCTATTCGAAACACTTTGCGATTTACAAAGCTTCGCTGAGAGAGCGAAACAGAAGACGGTATTAAATTGCCGTTTGAAACGAAACGATCTGGACTCTGAACGCTATCTTCTTTTGTGGAGTTCTTTACCAAATGAAATAACTGAAATAAATTTTGTACTTTCCGCCGCCAACAAGAATTGCACACATGATCTGATAAGTGAGACAATTTATTCATAACAATGGCAACAGCGAAGCACACATTATAAATGCTAATGTGGTCGCACGACTTCCCTCACGATTTGAAGTTTGAGACTGGTTTTCTGTTGAAATTCGTCCTAATTTGCCTGTTCCGATTTTAGTTGAAAATGAGCACTTGCAAATTTGGCAATTACTGACTGCGTTGCTTGCTTTTTTGGAGTTAAAACGCAGCCATTTACACATTGTTTATGTTCTGAATAAGCAGAGAAAACCCCGCAACATTTTAATGCGAGTTTGTTTGTTAATATTTGGGTGCTGTCATTGGTTCTTTTTTGACAATTGACGCGCGAATGGGGCGTGTTATGAAAAGGGGCGTTTTACAAAATACCGGGCCTTGCTTGCAGGCCCACTATCAGTTCCCTTGGGCCTGCACGCGGGCTAATTTTCTTGCTGTAATACAATTTAAATAGAGAATAATACATGGGTGCATGGAAATACCAGATTTATTTCATGTTTAACACAAGAAATAAATCTGGTATTTCCACACACCCATGTATTTTTAAACATTGCTCCAAGTTAGAAACTGCTCTGCAAGTTGCAGCAAAAATTGGCTGGTGTATAGGCTTAACAGGGTCTTTATAGCAATGTATATATCTGCATATGTATTTTTTATAAGAAAGCAAAACATTTTAGGCTATATGTATATAAAAAACGTATTTTTGTGAAAGAGGTAATTAAACACATCAAGTACATCTTAACTAATAGAATTCGAAGCACTCCTGTTTGATTTATATATGAACTAAGGTAGGCACACTTTGCATCCAGTAATTACTATATAATGTCTGACTTAACTTTTGATATAGAGGTACACCTTGTGCATTTTTATTTAAACTGATGAATATTTGCACCGACTGAGTGTGTTTTAAATACTGCGGATCATGGTGCGAGGTATCATATTTAGTTACGTCATGAAGTCATATCATATTTAAATGCACAGACTGGTGTTTTAAGAGCGGCCGTCTGTAAAAATCGACCAAAGGTGTGCAATATAGAAAAATTGAAATCTTTCTTTTTCGGCCCTAATGTACGCCTAGATGAACTATTCAAGTAAAAAATACTAAAAACTTCATCAGGTTCTTATTTCAGGAGAACGGGCCGATTTTCTCTTTTCACAGCTGACAAGCTAATTTCAAGGCCCATTCACCGCACCTCATAAAAAAATCGTTAAAAAATTTAGCGT